TACAGGCATGTGAGTTAAACATTTACCTCAAGTAGACACACATCTTGGAGAGAACAATCATGGGAGAAAGAAGGGCTGCTTATGCACAGGGAGACAGCTCAGGGGGCAGGAGAATATGGAGGCATGGACACTGGGAAGAGGTAACCATGGGGAGGAAGTGGGATGGGAGCTGTTGCACTGTGGTGAACTGTGGTCAATGACATGAGACAAAGTTTATGTGAACTGCTGTATGGAAAGTGAATTTGCTCTGTACATCTTCACCCAAATCACAATCAATCAATCAACACTCTACACTAATCCTGCCCATTAACATAATAAAGACAACTCATTGCCAAATGGGGTTATGAACATAGGCTTAGAGGTCAGGATTTACAACATATTTTTTGGGGGAGCCACAATTCAATCCATAACACTTATCTAGTGCTAGTATAGTAGAAATGCCACAAAGAGTTGGCTTTAATGAATAGAAGTTTATTTTCTCACAGTTCAGGCTATAAATCTGAATTCAGGGTGCTATCTCTAGAAGAAGGTGCTCTCTGACTGCTCAGGGGGAGTCTTTGTTTCTTTTCAGCTTCTATTCCTATGCTCCTTGGTGATCTTCATGGGGCATGGCTTATCTATTTCCCCCCATCTCTCTTTGCTTGCTTAATCTTCTCTTTTTATATCTCAAAAGAGATCAATTTAAGACCCACCTATAAGCATTTTTTTATGGTTAGGATGGTAATGGAGCTGTAAAATCAAATGTGCATGAACTATTGAATGTAAAACAAATTTGCTTTGCAAATTTGCACCCAAAGCACAATTGGAAAAAAAAAAAAAAAAGACACACCCTACACTAAATATTGTCACATTAACCTAACAGATAAAACCACTCCCAAATGGGATTATAACCACACATATGGGGGATGGATTTAAAATACATGTTTTTTGAGGACACAATTCAATCCATACCACCCCCCACCCATCCTTCTGCCCATGTACCTATCCACTGAGTATGTTCCATGTAACAGGTTCTGTACTTGCAGTTGTATAGGACAAAGCTTTACCAGGCCTGGTCCCTACCCTCAGAGCTCTCATCATGTGTAGGAGAGAAAAGACTTGTCCTCAAATAACTCAAACATAAAACAGCACAAAGGGGGCACCAGGTACCATAAGAATTCTGGCAAGTGGGATGGGGAGAGGAGGAGGGATGCAGAGGAAGCCATCAAGGTACATAAAATGGCACCAGCTTATTTACAAGTGAGAAGCCAAGTAACCTACTTCATGACCCACTCAGTTGACAAGATGAGAGAGCAGTCAAGGTGAGGTGGTGGCTAGTCTTAAAAGGCAGGCTGGGGCTCACTTTTCCTGACACCAGTGGTTATGTCCTGACCAGAATGTCCAGTTTGGGGGATGTATTCAGTTTTTCTTTTTAACACCTACACTGGCAATGATCATCAGTCTTGAAAGCATCTCAAGGACAGGGACATGGTGATGTCTTAACTGTTATTGTACTCACCCATCCCTTTCCCCACAGTGCTCGGTCCTCTGCTTTGAATATGGACCAAATGTTGGGGATGCTCAACAAAGGCATTAGGGGTGAGGGGAACAAGGGCCCATACTTAGAGCAGAGAGGAAAACGGAGCACCCTCAGGTGTGGGGCTGACACCTAAGCTGATAGCCCTCATGAATACCAATGCTCGTTGGCTTCGGTTTTTCTTTCAGATTTCTGTCTCCAAAACCTTAACTCAGGCGTGAAGCCAGGGTTTCCCAAAACAATGAAGACGGATAACCCAGGAGTCCTCAAAGCTGCCAGACACACCGCTGAAAGGTTCAATAACTGCACAAATGACATTTTCTTGTTCAAAGAGTCCCATGTCAACAGAGCCCTGGTACAGGTGAGTGTCTAGGTTCTCAATGCCAACCTCTTGGAAAAACCCCAGGATGAACACTGCTATGGAACTGGTGTGCCTGGCATCCTCTGCATTCTCTCTCACACATACACCTATGCCAGAAATGGACAGCAGTGGCCCCTGGTGTCAGGCAGAGTTGAGAAAATGGTCCCCCAACTGTTCTTACTCAAACTCTACTTCTCCCGGCAGTTATCACTACTTGAGAAGTAGGAGCAAGGAGGGGACAGAAGCGGCTAGAGGAGCCAGAGGCTGATGGTAGGAGCAGAATAAAAAGCAACTTTTCACAGGGCAGAGCTGGCTAAACATTGCCTGTGGAGTGGTGTTCAAAGCATGTTCTAGTCCTTTGCACCCACAGGTGAGCCCACCTCCTGTTCACCCCTCACCTGCACAACAGTCTCAAAGAATAACACATTCTTTCACATAGCTTTGGCCCAAACTGCCACCTCCTCCTCTACCACCACTCTTCCTACACCATTTCTTTCTCCATCACCTCCTCTACTACTACCACCTTCTCCTCCTCTTCCCTCTCCCCTTCAGAGGATTCCCCTATTCCTGACTAACCCTGGATCCTCCCTCCAGATCCTGCAAGAATGCCTACATCTGAAGCCTTTCCTGCTAGAACAGCAGTCATAGCCCCTCAGGGACATTACAGCTCTCATTGCTCTGCCCTAGCCAAACTTGGCTCAATTCTGTCCCAGAAACACAGCACGAGCCTGGCCATAGACAGCTGGCCTCAGGGATCCTATCCTTTGTCAGAACCATGGCCATTGTGCAGCCATTTCGATCATACCTAAAAATGTCTGGCAGCACAGGTATTTTCACACACTCCCAGGAATGTATGGGTATGCTGATGATGAAAGGAAAGGCACAGATACAGTCCTACTCTAATAATTCTTACATATTATTGATTACCTATGGGTCATAGGATTACAGGTGATTTTTGCTTCCTTTTTTATTCTTTTTGGCAACCACAAACTTTCTCAGAGCACCTACATTTTTATAATGAAAAGTGTTAAGAAAGGAAGTCTAGCAGTGATACATTCTATAAGGCTTTCACCAAAACGGCATCTGTAATATATCACTACTCCATGGGCCCATATCTATAGCCTGAGATTCCTTGCTTTCTCTGGAAGTCTCAAGCATGATGGTCTGCACTTAAATCCCAAGTGGGAAGAATATGGAAGCTGTCCCTCTGGACCCTAGTGATGTTGGGGACCATTTCATTTGGGATTTAGTGGGCCTACACTAAAAACTGAGGCAGTTAAGACTTCTCTGAGACCAGTTTGCTGGCAGAGTCCCACCCAATTGGAGAAGGGCTATTTCAAAACGTAAAGAAAAATATCCCCCCCTTCCCAAAAGAGCAGCATGGGGACAACTGTGTGGGGAATAGTGGTAGACATCACCAGTCCACAGGGTGGGTCCTCGCAGGGTGGATTCAGTTAGTGTGCTATAAGAATGAACCAGGGCAGCCCCAGGAAGACCTGATCTGATGTTGTCCCTGAGAGCAAGGCTCTGAGCAGAAAGAAGACATCCTAGCACAGGGCAGCATCTACTTCACCCCCACTCCAGGACTGAGAGCAGCCCTCTGAGTGGAACTAAGAACATGGAAGTGGTGGCTTGGAAACTAGCAGGTCTCCTACTAGAGCTAAGGGCTCTCAAAAGTCACAGGAAAAGACTTCTCCCCAAATCCCAGATGTGCTTCTATTAAATCATGCATGTGCTCACCCTCTCCACATTATGTTGTTGTTATGTGTCGTCGAGTCAGACCTGACTCATAGCGACCCCTCCTTGGGTTTCTGAGGTTATTATGTGTCGTCGAGTCAGACCTGACTCATAGCGAGCCCTCCTTGGGTTTCTGAGGCAGTATCACTATAGAAGTAGATTGCCCCATGTTCCTTCCGAGGAGTGGCTGGTGGGTTTGAACTGCCAGCCTTCTGGTTAGCAGTCAAGTGCCTTAGGCACTATGCTACACAGAGCTCCACATTATACTCCTCCCTTTATAGCCACATGCCTGGGCATCCTTACCACCTGTCCTAATGCAACCTCTTGCTACTGGAGTAGCCCACTGGCCCCTCCACCTGGCACCAGAACCATGTCCTTCTGTTTCCTTCAGATAGTGAAAGGCCTGAAATATATGCTTAACTTGGAAGTTAGCAGAACCACCTGCAAGAAAATCAGGCATCCCTGTCTGGACAATTGTGACTTCCAAACCAACCACAACTTGACACAGGTAAAAATAAAGATGGTCTCTCACCTTCTCCAACCTGCTTGTCTCCTCCCTTCCCCCTTTCCCAGGGCTGTGAAAGTCACTCCCTTCATTACATGTCTGACAACATGGTCTCCTGGCACAACCTTGATATTGGTAGGAAGTAGAGGGAGAACTCTCCCAAAGGAAAAAAGGGGTAAAGGCCAGGCTGTCTTATTCCTCAGACTTCCTGTTCCTTTGCTCCTCGGAGGCCACATCTCTAGGAATAAACACTGTGGGCTTGGAAGGAAGGGGAGTTGAGAGCAGAAGAAGAGCTTTAAGATAATTCAGAAATTATCCCCTGCCCACATAATATAGGTATATAATCTATTTAAAACAAAAAACAAAAAAAGCAAACCCACTGCCATCAAGTCAATTCCTAACCATAGTGACCTGCACTGGGTTTCCGAGTTGGTAAATCATTATGGAAGTAGACTGCCCAGTTTTGCTTCTGCTAGATCTCCATATATGCCTGCATCTCTCTGACTATATAGATACATATACAGAGAAAGCACCCAAAAGCTCAAAGTCAGCAAAATTTAACAAGTAAATATAGGTGAAAGGTATATAATCTTGAACCACTCTTTCAACTTTTTTTATAGTTTTGAAAATTTTCAAAATAAAACTTTTGAGGGGAGGAATGCAGAACTCCTCAGCTCCAGTGGCTGGTTTAGCATCCCACAGCCAGAGGAACTGGGAAACTTCTGGGGAATGTATGTGTCAGTAAGCTGCGTTTTAGTGGGGTGGGTGACTTTGAAACAAGCCAAACAACCCTCAGCTGTGCTCCTTCTCTGTTTACAGACATTCAGCTGCTACTCGGAGGTCTGGGTTGTACCCTGGCTTCACAAGTTCACAGTGCCTGTTCTCCTCTGTCAATGACGTCTTTCTTTTCCACAAGATAGCAGCTGCGACAAACATGTGGCACAAGACAGCAGTTGCAAAAAACATGTGGCACATCTTCTTTGCTACCTTCAGATACAGCTTCCTTACCTGATTTCCAGGTACTCTGGATGTTCCAGAAATAGAATCTCACAAATGAGTAGAAAAGAAGGACAAACAGTTCATGACAGAGTAGCTGGGACGGTTTACACCACCCACTAACTAGATTAAATATGGGTATGAAAACGAGAGTGAGTTTTCAATGGGAAGTATCTGAGTAGGGAACCAATCCAGGGGGTGCCAAGTCCCAGACCTGCGGAGGGTGTTCACATGGTTCTCCTGTCTGCTGGTCTCTAGGCTTACAGATTAGAGAGCCCACACATCCATCTGTTGATCTGAGTAGTCACAATACCGTGTGGCAGCCAAGTCTGCAACTGATCATCTTGCCCTTGCATGGATAAATAAAGTTATGAATAAAGAACTGATCACCTCAAAAGCAATGACTATATGCTTTTCCTTTGAACAGAGAGAGTTATGGAGGAGAAGTGAGCACTATAAGGAGTCTGAAGATTCCAAGAAAACCCCTTGCTTTGCCTCCCTCTGGTCATCTGGATTAGGGATAATGGTGAAGAACTGGGCCATAAGATATTTAACTTACTTAATGATTTTTAAGACCCCTGAAGGTAACACTTGCCGTAACATATGAACAAGCCCATCCCCATTAAAAGACAGGGTTTCAAGGCCAGAAGGGCCTCTGAACACATGTGAAATATGCCCTGGTGACCTCTACAAGAAGGTACAGCACACTGAGGTGAGAACCACTCTCCTATCTCACAGTCCACTTTCATCTACAATTAAATAAAGACCAGCAGACAGCAAAGCCAGGCCTCTCCTATGTAGATATATCACCTCTCCTGGCCTCACAGCCTTAGAGATGCTAGTTTGTGACTCCAGACAAGTCAGTCCCTGAGCCTCAATTTTCTCATCTGCAGAATGAGGTGATTATCTCCTCATCCAATTAAAAGAGCATGTATTTTTTTTAAAAAAAAAAAAAAACTTCAAAACTGTTACACTACTCTGTAAATGCACACTGATGATAAAAATCTCAAAATAGGGATCTCTGCCCTTTGGAAGGTAGTAATAGACTCTTGGAGGAGTTTTTGTAATACATGATAAAGAGGCACACAATGAATCATTTCATTTAATTTAAAAAGCATGTTAACAATTCACATTAAACACTTCCTATGTTTACAGCAAAAGCATATCACACATTTAAACTGAGTAAGAAGGCTGATATTTTGCACCTTACTGGGGCAAATTACCAGACAGAACACACGTAATGACACTTTTGAGACAGAAAACCAACACTGTGGTCAAGATCAAGACTCCTATGCTGCAAAGTGTGAAAACCAATTTATCAGCTTCTTTGCACTAATGGAAACTGAGTGATAAAAAGCACAGCCCTCTATTCTCAGTTGAAGATTTGAGATGTGAACTTGTAGCCTCAGCACATTTGAATTGATTTTATGATCTAATAATTGGGTATCACCTTACTATTCTTGTATTTCTGATTTATGAGGCATATAACTAGCTAGTAAAATGTATTTACTAATGACTACTCAATTTCCTTTCATATGAAGTCATGTAAACAACAGTAACAATTACTCATTTGATATAACAGGTTGCATCAACCAGGTGGAAGCCCATCTTTGAATCCCTTCTACTGCTGCTGCCTATATAGCACCAGCCCTGCGAAGGCCAGTGCAATAAGATTAACCCACCATCAGACTCCTGGCACCTGCTTGCCTCCCCTCAGATTAGGCCTGACCAGCTTGGGATAAGGGGCAGTATTGGAAGAGGAATTGAAGGGGTAGAACACTGGCCAGTGCAACAAGATAACAAAAAAAGGTTAAGAATTTATCACAGCTGCCACTCATCTTCAACACAGCTACCTATTTATAATATTGTCTTTATCAAGCGGTTTAAATACTTCCACAGATACAATCTCTGGTATATATCTAGAGAAGAAATGAACAGATATGATCCCCATTATATAAGTTAGTAAACAGGAGAGAAAAGTAATATTATCTTGCCCAAGAAGGACTCAACACTGGGAGACACACAGCCTGAGGCTGGTCAGCTTTCCTAAAAACTGCTGCTGCCTATGTGTCCTGTGGACAGTCTTCCTGAGCAAATCAAAAGGACCACTTGCTGCTAAGACAACATCCTAACCAAAAACAATGCTCATATCAACACTGAAGAAATTAAATTTCTAGTTACTGCTAAAATAAGAATATTAAACTAGAGAAGACTCTCCCAGGCAACATCATGAAAAAAGGTAAAGCAGCAAAGTAGATTTAATATAACCATGATTATGTGGGTCTCACGGATAAACATGACCAGTGTGTAGACATACTTGTCAGGATATTCAACAATTTTGGGCCTTTAACACTCCAATGTGTCCTATTTATGTTTTCAGGTCTAGAGGTGAATAAAGAGCAAAAGGTATATAAAGCAGAACTCTCATAAATTTAATCCTGCAGTACTGAATCACCGGATCATTCAATTCCAATGTAGTAGTAAGTTTACAGAAAGAAAACTCACAAAGTCCTCGCTGAGCTGTTGGAATAAACATGCTTTCCATACACACTGATTTGTAGACACTTGAAACCTTCTGGGATGGAGAGGCTGAACTAAAGCAGACTGGGGGATGGGAAGAACACCTTCCTCCACATGGAAAGAGCCCCCAAGCTGCACAGTGGGACTGATGTCCTCCTCCACATGGAAAGGGGTCATGGGGACCTAGGGTCCAGGACTCAGCACAACTCTTGTGAATACAATTCTAAATTCCTTACCTGCATAGCTCCTACCATTTATTTCAATGCATTTTGGCACTATGCTCCCCTCCCCCAAGCAAAAGCATTACCCATTTTACAGTAAAGACATGGAGGCTGGCAGGACAGAGGCAGTAAACCAAAACAAGACCCCCGGGCTACTCTTTAATCCACTGGTTAAAGTTCCTGATTCCTTGCGAATTACTAGACAGAGAAAGCATTTTTCCTAAAGAGAAAATGGCTTTACATGGATTTATCTTCCCCATGGAAAATAAATACAAAAGTCAAGCCCAGGTGAGGGCAGTGTTTGGGTGCTAGCACCCCAAGGGCACAGCAGCAGTCCCCACACAAGATGAAGACTGATGGGTGTACAGAACTGGGTCCTCCTGGATCTAGTGTCCCTCCCCAGCACTTCAGCCCTGGTGTGAGGCCCTGGCCAGATGATGCCTGGCACCGCCTTGGGATAGCTCTCAGTGGGTCATACAGACTCAAGGCTCAGCTGGCAAAGGAAAGGGGAGCTGAAGGAGCCCAGGTACAGGTGCCCATCATATTCATGTGCCTCACTGGTGTATGTGGCCACCAGGCCATTGGGGTCATGCAGGCTTCTTCGAAAGGCCCCACTGTAGCTGAGTTCTAGGACGAGGCTGTACCGTGGCACAAACTTCATCACTGTCTCCTGACTGAAGAGCTGGAAGGGAAGCACAGGACAAGGAGGGTTTATCTCCCCACTCAGAAGATGTGAGCAGATCTGACCACATAGCCACTTACCACCTAATGACAGCACTGTGCCTTCAGGGGCAAGGAAAACATGAGAGGCAAGATTGAGATTCAGGCCTAGCTCCCACTAGCCTTTGTACTATTTGCCCACACTATGCCTCACCCTGCCACCACTCCCCCATGGTGCAAATCAGTTTAAGATGCTTTTATGCAACCTGCATGGCAATGGCCAAGGGAGATCAATGCTAACAACAGCACAACAGGCTGTCGTCTCAGTGCCTCCCTAAACAACCCACTGGACACAGAGAATGCAAGTCATATCCAGGGAAGACGAAGCATGAAGCCAGGTTTAGGATGACCTCAACTCACCAGAATGCCATGTCAACACTAGCATGACTGGAATAAACATCAAGTCTTTTGAGTAAGTTGAAAATATTTCACATGTGAAAGGTACAAATGGTGGAGATTTGAAAGCAAGTCATCTTAAAAAGAAAGAAAAAACCCTGGAAGGGTTAAATAAACAAGTTCACACACAATGTGATGTGGTGTCTTGTGCAAGCCAGTTCATCCTCCAATGTTTCAATGCACAGTGCACAAATGCATTAAGTGCTGAGCAGAGCATGCTCAAGGTATCCCCTTTGCACAGCTAAGTGGAAGGGCTTATTTAGGCTTTGGTTCTTTGGGCAACACAGAGCTATTGAAAGTTTTTTTTTTTTTTTTACCCCAAATTTATTCTATTGTTGCTCTGGGTCTAAGGCATTTAACTGCTAACCAGAAGGCTGGAGGTTAAAATCCACCAGCCACTCCTCAGAAGGAAGACTGGGCGATCTACTTCCATAGAGATACCACCTCAGAAACCCAAGGAGGGGTCTCTATGAGTCGGAATCAACTTGATGGCAGTAAGTTTTTTTGGTTTTAGTTGTTCCTGAGAATATGCACAGCAAAACATACTCCAATTCAACAGTTTATATTCAGTGACACCGATTATATTCTTTGAGTTTTGTAACAATTCTCATCCTCCTTTTCTGAGTTTTTCTTCCTCATTAACATAAACTCACTGCCCACTAAGGTTTCTATCTAAACTTTTGAGTTGCTGTTGTCATTCTGATCTCATATATATAGTTTTTAAAAGAACATAATGTTCAAGGCAGATTTTTTTTTTTTTTTTTACTGGTTTAGTTACACATTGTTAGGTTTTAAGACTTCAAGAAATATTTTTAGTTTAGAGTTCTAAGATTATCTCAGGGCAGTAATTTCCGGGGTTCATCCAGCACCCATCATTCCAGAAAGTCTGGAGTCTATGAGAATTTAAAATCCTGTTCTCAATTCTCCCCCTTTTGATAAGGAGACGTCTATGGAATCTTTGATCAGAATGTTCAGTAATGGAGTAGGGCACCATCCAAGTCTGGTCTCATGCCAAATGAGGCAGTTGTTCATGAAGGCAATTACTCACACATTCCATATCCTCCTTATATTCTGGACTCTCCTTCTTTCTCTATTGCTCCAGTCAAATACAGACCAATTACCATGCCTTGGCTGGATGCTTGTAAGCTTTTAGGACCCCAGGCCTGAGTTCTGGTAAGATGTCAGAATAGACAGAAAAGACTGCACAGACCCACTTCAACAAAGAAAAGGGGAACCAATTAACACAGATACAGAAAATAATCCTGGACCCCTGAGCTTTGAAGTGAAGGATACAGAAGTGGACTAAACGCCAACCAATAGAAGAATCAGCATGAAAATACCAAAAAAGGAGACATACAGAGCTGTGATCTGGCAGCACTGTGGATGGCACAGAAAGCTTAGATATTGCTGAGTGGTGTTAGGAACTAAGAATTAACCAAAAAATCAACCCTGTTAGGCAAGGACTGCATGGAGGATGGCTCTGGTGGCTGGGGAATAAAAGGGGAGGCAGGAAAAAGGATGGCAGGCTGAGCTGTGGACTTTTGCCTGTCCAGAGGGCGCAGCCATTTTGAATGTTTATAAGTGGCTTGACCATTTTAGATATTTAAAGCGACAGTGTTCTCCCATATTCCAGGGGCTTAAGAACAGGCTCCACATGCCAGTAACCACAAGGGCATTCTAGACCCAGACAACTGGAAAGGTGTGACAATACCCTTGTTACTCTTATACCCCACACCCTCTTGGAGAACAGAGGTGCAGACAACCCCACTCCCACCCACCTTCTGGGCCCACAGGAACTCTATTGCAGTCTGTGTGCTCTGACGGAGCCTGGGTGCCCTGCCCTGGCCTCCTCTGATTTTTTTTTTTTCTTCTTTCCTTTTTCTGTTTTCTAGTTTGTTTGTTTTTGTCTGCTTTAAAACTATTACTATTATTATTACATTTGTCCTTTTTACTATTATTCTTTACTGTTCCTCTCCCAGGTCTTAGTTTTCAGCTTTTCTTCTGTTCCCTGTTCTTGGTTGCAATTTCTCTTTTTCTTTCTTGTGGTCAACCCCATTCCTTGTTTTTCTTTTGCAATTTTCCCATTTTTTCTTCATTATTTTCCTTCTCTACCATTTTTCTCTTATTGTCCTATCCCCAAATATTGAGGATATTTTTTTTTCCTTCTTCTTTTTCCCTTTTTTTTTTTGTTTTGGTTACTGTTACTGTGTGATTACACAGTGTATTTTCAGTAAATGTGCTTCTACTTTTTTGATGGTTATTCAATTGTCCCTTTGTCTAATGGAGTGGAAGACAGCAACAGACCCCACAGAACACAACTACATCCACATCTCCTGAAGCTTGAATTACTGAGTGAGAGCCACCACTTCATTCTCCACCAACAGGCCAAGGATGAAAAACCACCAAGAAGAGCCTGACTCACCCCTGGTTGCTCTTCACAATCACTTAACAGAGATTTAAATACAAAAATGCCAAAATGTCTCACAGACAACAGACCATCAGAGTCCACACAAAGAAGCAAGATAAAGTGGTAGAAACAAGGGAGCAGGATACAGACCCAGAACACATCCCTAAGGAAGAAGCAGCATTGGAACTCTCTGATAAAGAATTCAAAAGAACTGTATTTAGGTATCTTCAAAGAATTGAGACACACTAGGGGAAACACAGACAAAACCCTAAAAGAATTTTGGAAGAAAATACAAGAACAAAATGACAAAATAAATGAAAAATTAGAAATTATTCTAAATATACAGATAGAAATCCAGAAGATTAATACTAAATTGTCAGAAATAGATAACACATTGGAAGAGCAGAGGAGTAGAATTGATGCAATGGAAGGCAGAATTAATGAGACTGAAGACAAATATCTGAATACTTCTTTGGAAAGGGATCAATCAGAAAAATGATCAAAACAAAATGAAGAAAGCCTAAGGTTCATGGGGGACACCATCAAAAGAATAACCTACGTGTCACTGGAATTCCAGAACAGGAAGAGAAAAATAAAACCACTGAGAAAATTGTCCAAGATTGACTGGATGAGAACTTCCTTGACATGATGAAAGATGAGAATATATCCATTCAGGAAGTGAGACGAACCCCAAACAGGATAGGCCCCAAAAGAAAATCACTAAGACATAGCATCACCAAAATCATCAAAACCAAAGACAAAGAAAGAATACTGAAAGCACAGAGTTCTGATAAGATGGCGGACTAGGCAGAAAGACTGCACAGACCCTCTTCAACAAAGAAAAGGGAAATCAATTAACACAGGCACAGAAGATAATCCTGGACCCCTGAGCCTTGAAGGGAAGGATATAGAAGTGGACTAAACTCAAACTAGGAGAAGAATTTGCATGAAAATATCAAAAAAGGAGACAGACAGAGCTGCGGTCTGGCAACGATCCTGACAGCACAGACAGCTTAGAGATTCCCGAGTGGTGGTAAGACCTAAGAACCTAAAAATCAGTGCTGCTAGCCAGGGACTGCACATAGGACTGCTCTGGTGGCTGGGAAATAAACGGAGAAGGTGAAGAGGAAAGCGAGATGAACTGTGGACTTGTGCTGGTCCGGAGGACGCTGCCATTTTGAATGTTACAAGCAGATTGATCATTTTGGATATTTAAAGAGACAGCGTTCGCCGAGATTCCAGGGGTTGAAGAAGAGATTTGGCTTTCCAGTAACCCCAAGGACACTCCGGACCTGCAAGACTGAAAAGGTGCAACATTCCTCTTATTACTCTTACACCCAACACCCGCTTGGTGAATAGAGATGTGGCCATCCCCAACTCCCACCCACCTTCTGGGCTCACAGTACCTCCTTCACAGTCTGTGTGCTCAGATGGCGCCTGGGTGCCTTGCCCTTTCCTCCACCGATTTTTTTTTTTCTTTCTCCCTTTCTTTTTTCTAGTGATTAGTTTGCTTGTATTTGTCTGTTTTAAAACAACTATTATTATTAATATTTTTGTCCTTTTTACTATTAATCTTATTCTTCCCTTCCCAGGTCCTAGTTTTCAGCTTTTTTTCTTTTCCCTGTTCCTGGGTGAATTTTTTTTCTTTTAATTTCTTTTTTTTTCCTTTTTACCCCTTTTTTCTCGTGGTTAACCCCGTTCCTTATTTTTTCTTTTTGCATTTTTCCCATTTTTTTTCTTCATTATTTTCCTTCTCTACCTTTTTTTCTCTTAGTGCCCTATCCTCAGATATTACAGGTTTTCTTGGTTTTTCTTCTTCTTTTTCCCCCTTTTTTTTTTCTGGTTACTGTTCCTGTGTGATTACATGGTGTGTTTCTTGTCCACATGCTTTTAGTTTTTTGATGGTTATTCAGCTGTAATTTTTGTCTCAATGAGTGGGAGACAGCAACAGACCCCATAAGACACAACTACACCCACACCTCCTGCAACTTCACTTATTGAGCGAGAGCCACTGCTTCCTTCTCTATCAATGGGCCAATGATAAAAAAACACCAAGAAGAGCCTGAATCACCCTTGGTGGCTCTTCACAAATAGTTAACAGAGATATAAATACAACAATGTCACGATGCCTTGGAGACAACAGAGCATCACAGTCCACA